TATAGCGATATATTAATATTGGTCTTTAAATCATAGATTTCTGGCACTAATGTGGTAATGATTCACCGCTATTAGTGTGGCGAAGACCCGGTTGTCAATGCAATCACACAATCACTACTCCAGTCCATCATTACCTTGAAGTCCTGGTTGTTGTTCTGAGTCCTGACGCCAACGATTCCGTGGAAATTAGTTTTTATGAACTCCTCGACATCGCCATCGCTATACTGAACCACATTTGACTCGAACTTATTCTTAAGCTCTTTGGGTCGGACGAGAAGAATGGTCGGCGCCTTCTTGGCCTTCAGGTCCGCGAAAACCTTCAGATCAAACACGTCGGCGACGGAATCGGTGAAGACGTGGACAAAGTTAACGGTTTCGCGCAATTTGTCGGCAATCTTCTGGAATTTGGTCTGAACTGCAGACTTGTCGTCCTTTTCAAAAACTCCCAAAACGATCACTTCCTTCGCTTTACTCAATGCCTCCTCTAATTTGGCGCGACTTTCGACGAGTCTGGAAGCGGGTCCCACCTGTGATCGCATGTACTTAACGATGCCATCGGCCTCTCGGGGTCCGCCGTATTCGGACGCAAAGTCGCCGCCTTTTTAGCCATTCAGACAAATGGATATAAAAACATTGCATTAAAAACAAATCAAACTAAAAAGCAAACTAATTGGCAGCTAAAAGGTCAGTCATTATCAGTCTGGAGCGGTACAGGTGGTCGTCAATTAATATTCAGACATAGACTGGGAGTTGTTTTCATCATTTAATGACTGGTATATATTCAGTGTTGGGAAATACTGTTAATGAGCGGTGCACCTGTTGACCCTGGAGGTCCATGTGTTCAATATGTTTTCAAAGTATGTGTTTAATCAATGGCTTATCGGGCAAACAAATGCTTTGATAATCCAAAGCATTGCACACATATTGACCCAATCGGTGCTGGATTTTAAGCTAAACTATTGTGAATCCTCTAAATAAGGGCTAATAGAGTGCAAAATGTTTATAGTATTAGAAACTATTGAACCCTTGTTATCATAATTCAAAGATAAAACAGTTGGGAATAAATAAAAAGAAAAATTTTAAACAATTGTAGAAACATTTGGTCTACACTTGAAATACACGTCTCATAGAAACAGATAATGCATTAGTTTTATCTCCAAATGGAGACACATCTCAATGCCATTCAAAAACAGACTAAAAACCTGAAAACTGGTAAACAATTTAATGCAAACGTGATAAACAGGGAAAAAACTCAACATAAACTAATTGATAGCTAATAAAACCCAAACTCAATACAAAGAGTATTTCACATAAAAATTAGCATAAATTGCTGTAAAAACTAAACGATTGATCAAATAAATGGCATACCTTTAAAGATCTTAAGCGTGGGATAGCCAGTGACTCCATACTCGGAACAGATATCTTTGCCGGCATCGGTGGTACAGTCGACCTGACAATTGAGACAATCATACAATTAGATTAGCAATGGGAAAGCCATGCGGTTTTGGGTGAGGGCTGGTAGAGGTATGGGTGCGAAGTGGACAGAGAGGGGTGAGAGGATAGAGACAAAGGGCGTGTACGGTGTGGGGCGGCCTACCTTGGCGAGAGGGACGGGCGGGTCATTGTTCTTGAGACTGGTGGCGGCCGTCTCGTACTCGGGGGCCAGTCGTTTGCAATGTCCACACCAGGGGGCGAAGAACTCCACCAAAATGGTGTCGTGCTGTCCGACGGTCGCCTTGAAGTCACCGGAGCTCAGGTCCAATACGTCCGACGCCATCGCGAGGCCCACGACTGACACCAATAATACTAATAAACCTGTCGTTGAATACATGTCTTCTTCGGGAGTTAAATGTCTTTTGGGTTAATGAAGGAAACGATTGCTTTGTTATCACAAACGGATGAATGAAAGCGTGTTTTCAAAATGACTTATAAATTGCTTTTTTGTTATCAATTCAATTGCGATATAATTAGAAATAAATACAACTTTTATATTAACTATTAATTTGAATAATAAATAATAAGAAACAAAATGAGAGTAAAAATTAAATTTAGTTTTAAATGACGAGAAAGAGAGGAGAAGTGGTGTTTCGCCGGCTTTTATGCGCTTTTATTGCAGTCCTATTGCTATGAACCGCTGGCTATCACTGCCTCCCAGTCCTCGACACAGCACTCACTGTGCCTTAAGTCGACGTGTAATTCAATGAAAGGCTCACACATTAGGCCTTAGAAACCATATATAACACGACTCTCCCTCTATTGCCCCCAACACTCACTTTCACCACAACTCT